GGTCAAGGATGTGCGTTGGCAAATGTGAAATGTTGACCGTTGCAACTAAAAAAGAACGGAGGAAGTATATTCAAAGTTTTAGGTAAATCCTATCTATGGCTTTATATAGCGGATATGAGTTATGAATAGTAAATCCCCTTTTATTCGTTAATAAAAAACTTCACAACTAAATACTACATGACACGCTCCTCATATAATAATACTAAAAGTTTAAATCGGATAATATCAATGTTCGCAGTTGTTCAAGACACCATTAAATATATGGGAAAATTCCCGAAATAGGACTAAAAACGTTTGAAAATTCCAAAATAGGATTGTCATGTTTTTATTCCCAAAATAGGAGTAATTACTGCCAAGTTTGGAAAATACTGTCATCTTTAAAGTCTGGTACTGCCAAAACATGGCAGTAATTAGTCCTATTTAGGGAATAAAAACATTGCAGTCCTATTTTGGAATTTTCAAATGTTTTTAGTCCTATTTAGGGTAATTTCTCTAAATATATTCACCCTTAACGGCTAATCAATAGGTAAAGGTGATGAATGTTTTAACCAAAAACTACTCTACAAATTGTTGTATACGAGATGAATTCAAAAAGTGATATGGGTGTACAAGAACTAATGAATAAAATATAATAATCAATCTCTTAGCATGAATCACAATAGTGGGAATAAAATATAATAATTAAGCTCTCAATATGAACCACAATAATATGATTGGAATAAACTAGCTAGAGTTATTTAATTGTTGATGGGATGGATCTCCACTACTCAAGCTATACTACGTATTTATAATAGTAAGGATGATCATCTCCACTTGAGCAGCTAGTAATCCTCCGGCTAATTAGCCTTTATCCGTCAAACTTGGCAATTAGTTAGCAAAGTCTATCCGTTCGTTCCAATTCTTCCGCTCCAAGCTCCCTATTATTATTTGCTCCTTAAGTTTGAATTTCTTAAGCTCATGGGCCCACCTTAATTTATTTCTTCCATTATTTCTTGGCCCAACAATGAATGAACTAACATGCACCAAGTAGGATTTTACAATTATTACGTAGTACCTAGAGATAATTATAGGTTTCTGTATAAACAATACAAGCACTGTCAAAAGCATTACACTAAAAATCTATTGTTTTTTGTTTAACAAGAAAAAAAATCTATTGTTCTATGTAGTAAACTTGAGTTACAAAATGTTAATTTTTCACTCTCTTATTGGCTTTGAACAATAAATGCTAATATTACTCTTAAAAAATCATGTTTTAATGCACTAAATAATGCAAGAGTTTTTGTCCTAAATAGGACTAAAATGTTGCTTAAATTCCAAAATAGGAGTATGCATACATATATTCCCTAAATAGGACCCTTATACCTCTTTTACCCCTCCTGACCCTCCGATTTAATTTTAACCGTTCAACACCCACTCCCCTTATCTCTTTCTTCTCAAATTGAAGTCTGCAACTAGAGCTTGTAAATGCTATGAACAGAAATCGAGCTGCAAGGGAGCTACGAGCAACGACAAGCGACGATGAACAACGGCAGCGGCGGCAAACGGTGAGTAGCGAAGGAGCGGCGGCGAGCTTAGTTCAAATCTTGTTGTGAAATTGAGGCTCGTTATTCTCCCTTTCCTATCACTTCCTTATCCTTCTTCTTCCTCAACTCCTCTCTAGCTATTCTCTGTCTCTCTTTTTCCCTTTTTTGTTGCATCACAGATTCTGAAAACTTTGAGATGCTAGCATTCAACGATGGCAAAAGCTTCATTTTCTTTAATTTTTTAAAAATGTCAAATTTTGTTTTAAAATGCCATGAAGATGGCTTTTTTACTCATCAAAAATGCCATTTTATCCTTTCAAAATCCATCAATATGGCATTCCCCATTTCTCCATTTGTGTTGGCATTCTAATAAACAATGTTGGCAATACTGGTGGCAAAGGACATATCTGCAAGGGAGGAGGTTGGATCTATAACGGAGGAGGCTGAATCTGCAGTGTTGGCATTCAGATCTGTAGGAGCGGTGGCCGGCGGCCTGCGAGTGTCAGATCAACGACGACAAAGTCCAGATCTGCAGCGGCGACGGAGTCCAGTGACTGGCGGTGGTCTGTCTGGCGACTGGCGGTGGATCGGCTGGCGACTGGCGGCCGTGGCCACTGACTGGTGGTGGTGGCCGGTGACTGGCAGTGGTGGCCGGCGTTCTAGTTGATGCAATAGGTTTTATCAGGCTTCAAGGATATTTCTGTCCAATTACATATACTAACTCCTATTTGGGAAAATTTTAAACTTTACTCCTAGTTTTGCAATTAAGGATTTATTTACTCCTATTTGAGTAAATATCCCATAATGCAAATGCTCATACAATATAAAAAGTAATTCATATTTTTACATTAGAACATTTAATTAATTTGTAACATCTACATAATGTATTTAATCACTGATTGCACTGTGCATTAAATTATACTGTAAATTATATTTCAAATTTAATACCTTAATTATATGCAATAATACACTCCGTATTAGGAATGCTGTTAATAATATTATAAGCAATAATATAACCTTAATTACAATATCTATTACTCTGGAGTATTTTTCATTTTAACCTATATAAAATCGACGAACTGTCGGGGCATTGCCCCAGGCTTTGCACTAGTAATACTAATATGTTAATATTTTAAATCGTAATTTACATTTTACTTGTTGTTGCATGAGAATGATATTTTATTGTTGTATTATTAGTTACTTGTATTTTTTATCACATAACTTTTAACTTATTGTTGAAGAAATATATGTTAATATAAACTAGGAAACATTGATAGTAATAATCTCAACTATTGACGGTCCGCCCATAATAATCCAAACTATCGATTATTTTAGAATAATCCCAACTTTAAGGACCTTCCGCCAATAGTGGTCCCTATAAATAACTTCACGTAGTTTCTAAAGTGGATGATGAGTGATATAGCAAGTAATCCCTATAAATAATCTCAACTTTTAATTTTTACACTTAATTTCTATTTAAAATTCACTTTTTATAGGAGGTAATATATGACCATGGAGTCATGAACCATTATTGGCGGACGATCCATATAGTTGGGATTATACAAAAATAATTAATAGTTGTGATTATTATTATCAGCGGACCGGCAATAATTGAGATTATTATTTTCAATTTTTCCTATAAACTATACCATAGACAATATAGCACACAACGTGAAACTTTAGAGCATATAGATACTATCAATAAGTGAAAACAAAAGTAAAATAAGTTAATTACTATCAATAAGAATCTTTTAGTGAAAATGAAAATGAATTAATGGACACAACATGTACTAATAAATTGTTAAAATGTTAGCATGCAGATACACTATATAGGGTATGTTTGACACAACTAGTTGACAAAATATTTTTATGAGTTCTGTAGTAAGCGTTAGCTTTTAGTGAGTGAAAAGATTTTAAAAGAAAAATTTAGTAGCTGTTTGATAAAAAACAGATTGTTTGATTTAGTATACAATATGTTGGGACTAATTAATGTTAAAGGCTACACACTTTTCTCATATGCTATTCACTATAGCATCTCAAATAAAAAAGATATTTTATTTTTTAAAAAGCTCTTAAAAATTGACATGTCAAACATACATCTAGAATTTCTTAAAGTCTTTTGAAATAGTACAAAAGATAGAAGATAATGACTTATGCCTGCTAAATATGCACATAAGATATGTTTGGCACGACTAGTTGAAAAGATGTTGTTACGAGTTTTTTAATAAATGTTACTTAGTAGCTTTTTGTGTATGTAAAGAGATCTTAAACGAAAAATGTTGTAGCTGTTTGATTAAAAAATTGACTGTGTAATTTTGTTGTGATTGGTATACAATCTATAAGGACTAATTAATGCTAAAAGCTACAAATCTTTCTCAAATGCTACTCACTGTAGTATATCAAAAAAATCTTTTATTTTTCAAAAAGATTCTAAAAATTGACATGCCAACATACATTTAGAAGTTTTTAAAAACTTTTTAAATAGTACAAAAGCTAAAATGTATGAATTTAGCCTCCCAAACATGCACATAATGCGTATATAAACTTATGCGTTCAATTAATTTAAAAAAGTTTAAATTGATATACATTCTCTAATTCACAACATACAATTATTTTTCAAAAAGATTCTAAAAATTGACATGCCAACAAACATTTAGAAAGTTTTTAAAAACTTTTTAAATAGTACAAAAGCTAAAATGTATGAATTTAGCCTCCCAAACATGCACATAATGCGTATATAAACTTACGTGTTCAATTAATTTAAAAAAGTTTAAATTGATATACATTCTCTAATTCATTGCTCAGAAGTACATTTGGTTTTCTCTCTCTTTTTCATTATGTTTTTGTATCATATTACTATTAATTATGGACTTATAGTTTGATGTAGTTTATTTTTTTGTTTTTGTTTTCCAATTTCTTTTTTTTTATCAAAAGAATATTTTGTCAAAAACCAATAAACCCGAAATCCAAATAAACTGAATCGAACAAATTATAGTTTCAACATTTTACTTTGCTATGCTAAAACGGAACCTTGTGAAGCTGTCCGTTATCTCGAACCGTTTGAGGCATCCTTGTTCAATTTCCATCGTTGCATTTGGTAGATTTTATGGTACCCTTAAAATACCATACTTTTGTTTCCATGAACCAATTAGAATGGTGTAATTGAATTATTTAAATCTAAATTAAATAAGATATAATGATTTGAACCAATCAAATGTACTACTCCCTCCGTCCAAGAGAGAAGTTCCCGGGTTGACTTTCACATATTTTTAAGAAAAAAGGTTATTGAGGGGTAAATTTTATTGTTTTGCACTGTTTCGACACTGTTTGGCACTGTTTCGACACTGTTTGGCACTGTTTGGCATTATTTGGCACTGTTTTAATGTAGGATGACTTTCCATTTAGGGAAATGAGAAGTTTCTTTTGGGACATCCAAATAAGGAAGTACAATTTATTTTTATTTGGCGAGTGGTTCTGTTATTATCTACTCCACTTTTGTTAAATTCTTTAGACTAAGAGCATCCCAACATGCGATCATTAAATTATACATTCACCAATTATTTTCTCATGATTGTAGTCTCTAATCATTAGTTATTTTCTCTTCAGCCTGCGATCATTCAATCCAATTCCCCACCCTCCGGTTATAGCAGATCCGGTTAAGGTATTTTTTTCTTCTTGTACGTGTGCTCGGTATCGCTCTGTATGTGTACGTAATCATATCAATATAATAAGTTAATAACAATGTACGCAATTTAGTTGCAGGAGCAGTGCTCGAGCTGGTTAGATTATAATGGGATTATTTGATGGACTCCCCATTCCCGCTGATAAGGCGGTGAGTTTTCGTATAATTTTTACCTCACTTCATAACTGTTACTCAATCGTTGGATTGAGTAGTTTATCACTGTTACCGTATGTGTAATCTGTAGTTGTTAGCGCATTGCTGCTATTGATGAGCGCAAACGATGATGTTACACGTTCATTGTGGGGAAAGTTTATGTTTTGTAATTTTATAGATTGGTTTGTTGCTTTATTACATTGTCATTGTGTTTAATGTGGAATGTAGTACTTAAAGGAAGACCTGTCTAAGATAGATGCAAGCTGGACAGCTGCACGTTTTGATTCTCTTCCCCACGTTGTGCATATTTTAACATCGAAAGATCGTGAAGCTGAAGTGCATGTTCTGAAGGAACAGAGTGAAATTGTGGAGGACATAGTTGATGAAGTAGTCCATTCATATCATGTTGGTTTCAACAAAGCTATTCAAAATTATTCGCAGGTTTATTAGCAAACACTAGACCCTCAACCCGAGTGAATTATATATTTTCTTGATTCTCATGCTCTCAACATTTTATAAGCGTGAAAGCCTACCGTGTATCTGCTTTGTTACAATTTTTTAGTTATTGGTTTTTTTGAAGATTAAATGAATAATGGATTACTCTCCCACCCCACTCTTTCTTGTATGCAGATTCTGCGTTTATTCAGTGAATCTAACCAGAGCATTAGTGGTTTACAAGGTGATTTGACTGATGCAAAGAAACTTTTGGGAAGCCGTAACAAGCAGTTACATCAATTATGGTATCGATCAGTTACACTGCGGCACATTATAGCTCTCTTGGACCAAATTGAAGGAATAGCTAAGGTAAATTGTGGTGGTCTTCATATTCTTATTTTATACTCTGAAGTTCTTTTTTGTCCCTTTTAAATCATAATCTTGAACCTTTGGGAGGCCAACTGCACAAGCCATCTTGTTGGAGTAGGAGAACCCAAAGTGCTTAATTCCCCTTACCAGACATATTATTTTGTTGTGGCGAATAGTAATAAGATCACAACAATGAGATATCTCTACCTTTCTATGATACATAGCTATTGAGTAGAACTTTAAGCATCATTTCATTTTCATTTACCCCGGTGCCGCAAAGGCTCCCACCTACGGTGGTGTAAGGGCCAAGGGGGGGTCAGATGTACGCAGTCTTACCCCTGTACTAAAGCACAGAGAGACTGTTTCCGGATGACCCATAGTGAAAATCTCGTCCAAAATTGCATGGACTGACTGCTGCTTCATAACAAAGAAGCGCAGACAGTTTAGTGAGCCATTTTGCTTTATTCCATCATATTCTCAAGCCAAAAAATAATGAATCTTTGTCTCCATTGCAAATGATGGAACCTAGAACTTTAAGCATGTACTTAACTTATTGCCCACAGCGGTACACACCAATTTGTGCGTGTCTGAAAACAAATACAACTAAAGGTCTCAGGTAACTTGGGCCTTTTCTGACCAACACTTGTGCTGCGTGTAGTCTACTCATTTGTATCATAGTATGATTGTTTAGATTCACATCATTAAATTTCCTTTCCTATTTTACTCCTTGGGCTTTACCCCTGTAGGGAGTTCATTTTAAGTACTTAATCTTGTCAATCCACACCTCATCCAAATTCTTAAAAACATGCTTAAGATATTTGAAGCCAAGAGTTTACTGTCATTGATATAGTGTTTGTAGACAAGTCAGTTGGTCAATTGTCTCCATTATATTACATATGGCTCCATTCTTGTACCTGGCTGGCTTGCTTGAAACGGCTCCTCCTTGGGTTGTGGGTGCATAGAGAGAGAGAGAGTGAGAGAGAGAGAAACATTGATTCTAATTGTGAATTTTGAGAGAGAGAGAGAGTGAGAGAGAGAAACATTGATTCTAATTGTGAATTTTGATAGCAATACAAAAGAGCGGTTAACCTTTGCACACACTATGTAGTTCCTTGCAATTGTAGATGTATTTCTCTCCAAGACAAGTGGATCTCATTCATCTTTATCTTAATTAGATTTATGTAAATAATTGAATATTTCGGAAAATTAAAGTTAGCACAAAATTTTCATCTACAATGAGCCCTGATGCTCATGGCATTTTTCATTTCAATAGGTGGCCAATGCAAAGTAAGTATATTATGATATCTATTACTATCTTTTATCAAGCAAAGGATAACATCCTCACAGGTTTTTGCCTTACGGCTTATTTTCTTTTCCGACACCTAAACATATTGCTACATCTCTTTCTGTAGGCCTTATTTTTCATATTGTTTTTTTTTATATGAAAAATCCCAGATTCCAACTCGGATTGAGAAGCTTATTGCTGAGAAAAAGTTCTATGCTGCAGTGCAATTGCAAGTTCAATCTGCTCTGATGCTTGAAAGAGAGGGCCTTCAAACAGTTAGTCTCCTTGACAATTCAATTTCCTTGTTCTTCTGTCCATATCATGCAATCAAATGAGCGATGGATTCTTCAATAACATGACAGGATGGATTTAGACAACCTGCATATATTCATATAGTCGTAACAGGATTCATGGTTAATGCTGATTGCTTAGTTTGGTGGGTAATTACACATGCCTCCTATTTCTCAGGTTGGGGCTCTGCAAGATGTCAAATCTGAATTGTCAAAGCTCCGAGGAGTTCTCTTCTACAAGATATTGGAGGATCTGCATGCTCATCTCTATCATAAGGGTGAATACAGGTAATATAGTTAAAATAAAGTACATGTCATTCCTTGAGCTTACAAAATGCAATCAGACAATAACAGATTTATAGCAATGAGGATCAAATACAAAGGGTTTAAAGCTCTGCACTAAGGTGGCCATAGTTGCTTTAAAGATAGTTGTAAGGGCAATAGGTCTACTATAGGGTATGATTAAGATAATTGCAAACATTCAACAAATACAGTTTATACATGAAGCTTGAAACAGGTAACTTTATCTTGGAGTTCACAGTCAATGGGTTTCCTTGTAATAAACATGCCACACTGATATTCTCAAGTTATTTGCCTTCTCAAATGCCTTTCAGAGCAGAGTTGTGCTTGTTATATTATTTGTATTGTCAACCATATGTTTTTGTACTTATTACTATGGAGTTGTCAACCATATGTTTTTGTACTTATTACTATGGCGTATTGTTATTCTCTTTGGAGTATTGCAGTATTCATGGTTCTGCTTATAATGCAGTCCAGCTCTGCTAGATATCAATGAAAGGGAAGATAAAACCCCAACTACGACAACCATTGCATATTCTCGGAAAGCGAAGCAAGGTGAAAATCAGTTCGGGTCAGTAAGAGCTGACAATGGATCTATAAAACCAAGTTCTGCGGATAGGGGGTAAGACAAGAATTATATACTTTGATGTGAGTTTCCAGATACCCCTCTTCAATTTCTAAGAAAATTTGGTTTTCATGTACATTCTAATGATCCTTCGATGAACAGAATTTACCTTTATGCATTTTACTGATTTTAATTTTAATTTTTTAAAGATTTTCCATAATAATCTTTGATTGATACTGTATCTGAAGTTCAAGATGTTTTCATTGTATTTCTATATTGATTTTACACTTTTACTTCTATAACATGGATTCAAACTTCAATGATCCCTAGCTCTTTCATTGAATCTCCTTTGCGTATGTGCCTGCCCTTTACTACAGATCAATTTACATCAAGAGAGCTTTACCCTAGCGTGAAAAGTCTTGCTTAATGGAAAAGCTTATAAATTGCATTGAATGAGACCTTTATATTGAAATGGGCTAGGTTATGGGAAGATAGAATACTCAACCTATCATTAAGACTAATAGGTGCTGGGAGTGTCTGTCGCATTTAGGGCTTTCTCCATCTGAATCAGAATAAATATTTTTATGCACCTTCTCTTTAAAATGAAAACTCGATGCTCTCGGGCAAATCTCAGCAATAATTTGTTTGGATTCTACATATTGCTCGTTTTGAACTAAAAGAACACTTTTAAGAGGAAAGTTGAATCTTCACTTGCCCTGCTTTGATGACAGTAGCTGGGGTGATGAATTGAAACAGGGAATCTTGTAATGTTTGAAGTTCATTGTTACATATTACTTTTATGGGTTGAGGTGGTCACCACAACAACATTTAATGGCAAAGTAAACAGGGTTTATGTTTACAAAGTAGTTTATTATAAATGTCTCACATCGGAGAAGCATTGCATATTAGATCAGCTGTAAGTATAACATAAAAGATACAGTTTATAAATAGAATATATTGGAATGAAGTTAAAAGCATTCTGAAAATTTGTGGTTACTGTGCTCATAGTGTACTTTTTCCTTCCACCCATTTCCAGCTTTTCAATCAATGTCCATGGCAAAGGTGATGTGCTGGAACATCATGATGCTACATCAGGTTCTATTAGTGGTGATTGCTCTCTAAAGGATGCCAGAGTTGTTTATCATCAAGCTCCAATATGGCTTTCAGATTCTACTCCTGATGAATTTATTGTATGATTGATGCAAATGCTACTCCTTAATGTCTGTCAACTTGATATTTGGTTTTATATTATACTAGGGGTGAACTATTAACTTATATTGTGGGTGTAGGAAGCAATGGGAAAGTGTGATGCTCCATTGCACGTGAAGTATTTGCAGACCATGGTTGAATGCCTTTGTATGCTCGGCAAAGTTGCTGCTTGTGGTGCCATACTATGGTGCGTAGTCAGCTATATGCTGTTGGATCATTTATAAATAATTCTTGAAGTAGTTCTTTGAACGTTAGTTGAGGGAGCTTACATACACATGCCTGTATATGTGAATTGATACGCTATTATGGTTACATTTACATCTGAGCTACTATTTGCAACTCATTTCTTATCTGTAGTTGATATTGTTTTTCCTATAGTTGAGGGAGCTTACATACACATGCCTGTATATGTGTTTTGATATGATTTGGGGTACTAGAGAGGAATTCTTTACTGAGAGAATTCTCAATATACAACAAATTCTTCTACTATGAACTATAAAAATTATTCAGAGTGCTATTTCACTTTTGATGGTATTCCTGAATTCAGAATGTTATGTTCATTAAAAATAATGTTTTCTCAAACCTGTATTTGATTTATTTTTTCTTCTGTTGTTTCTGAACAGCGAAAGGTTTAGGCCAACATTACATGAGATAATCACTACCAAGATCAAATCTATTGCCAAAAATAGTAGTTCAATGCATGACATTGGCCCATGTCCTCAGATTGCGATTACAGGTCTACACCCTCTGAAAGGAAAATTTGAAAGCTATCCGTCACTGGAACAAACACATCAAAATGGGGTATCATTGGCTGGAGTGATGCTATCTGTTAGTCCTGTCTCACCTGTAATGGCTCCTGCAGGAAAAGCACATGCGGCTGCAAAGGAGCTGCTTGATTCAATTCTGGATGCTACTGTTTGCATATTAGGTTAGGAAAAATGAAGTTTTGCAAATTCCTTTTTTTATTTTTTTTATTTTTGTTAATTGTGCCAATAGGTCATGGCTCATTATTTTTATGTGGATTTTACAATATCATTCTTTTAATAGAACATGACAATAGTAACTATCTCAACTAATTGCCATTTCTTGAAATTTTCTTTTCTTTTTGTACAACCTAGAAACTTTTCCACTAAGTTCTTTTTGCATGAATTCATATTCCTAATGAGTTTTAATCTAGTAATTGATATTATATATTTCTTGCCACCATTGATGATTATTATTCTAATCTTAATATTGGTGGGAGAAATGAAGAGCTGCATCTTTTGCCTTCACCTTCATGTGTACTCTTGAAACTTTTTCAGAAAACCACATGATAGTTGGCGAACTTCTCGATTCAAAGTCCTTGCAACAAGTTGACTTGAATACACCTAGGTCTATGCCAACTGATGTTAATTGGAACCAAGATTCAGATGTATCTCGCCATACTGGAGGCTATAGTATTAACTTTTCCTTGAATGTCTTACAGGTTTCTTACTTCTCTTCATTTTTTATTGGCATTTTCAGTCGTATCTTCTGTATGCCGGAGGAGGGGAGGCTAATAGGCTATAGTATTAGCTTTTCCATGAATTACATTTTGTTAGTTTGACAATTGATACAATTAATATTTAATATATGTGCATACATATTCATGTACCATTGACAAACTGTAAAAATAGAGTGAATGTCAACAATTGATTTGTGAAATCCTACGAGCAACTCCTGAAGCTGCTTCTGCTGATGCTGCTGTCCAAACAGCCAGACTCGCGAACAAGACACCTTCAAAGAATAACAGGCAAGTCAATGAAATGCTGTAGGGTATATAAACTAAAGGGAAGGAACACTGGTATGATAAGTGGAAATCATTTAAAAGGAAAAAGCACATGTTTTAACTGAAGCCATTGCATGAATGTTCTGATTGGATTATCTTGATGCTTATGCAGCATTAATTTATCACAATTCTTATTGGTTGTAGAGATGGATCTGGAGATGGTTTTACATTTGCTTTTCGCTTCACAGATGCTATTGCATCTGTTCCAAAACATGGTAACTTAACATGTACTCCATATTAATATTCTTAAAGATCTATGGTTTTATTTTTGGAATGAGTTTTATCTCATGGTAAAAATACACTTATTGTGCTGTGTGGCACTAAATAATGTTGTGAAACATATGATTATATTCATTATGCTTAATATCAAAATGCTATATAATAGCTCTATGTATATCTATACTGGAGTATTAGGGTTCCTATACACAATGGGCTAAGCCCAATACAACTAGGGTTTTGACACTCCCCCTCAAGAGACTTGTTTAAAACAATCATAAACATTCTAACTTCCAAGAAAATCAATCACCTAATAATACTTTATTCTGGACCTCTGTCCTAAAGTTCTAAACTAATCTTCATTGGGTTAAGGGCTGCCATTTTCTTTGTCATCCTCCATGCCCCCAAACCTAGACTGAATTTGTAATATTTTCCCCCAATTTTTTAAAATACATACTAATTATTCATAAATTCCACAATGTCCCAATTTAGTTTAAAATTTTCAGATTGAACCCCAAAAAATCAATTTTACTATCTACTGATTAACTTGGCGAGTCAACCTTATCACCATCATCATCATCATCACCATCATCATTACCCCAGTGCCGCAAAGGCTCCCACCTACGGTAGGGTAAGGGGGGGTCGGATGTACGCAGTCTTACCCCTGTACTAAAACACAGAGAGACTGTTTCCGGATGACCCATAGTGAACATCACGTCCAAAATTGCATGGACTGACTGTTGCTTCATAACAAAGAAGCGCAGACAGTTGAGCCATTTTAGCGAGTCAACCTTATCACCGAGTAGTGAAAATCGCTGAGTACTCGAAAAAATGGAATAACATGACTCTGAGTATTAATAGGCAAGGCCCTACCACGAGTAGCGAGTACTCGCCAATTAGATAACATATATGGACCATGATAGTTTAGTGTTATTTATTAGTTAGGGGCTGATGATGAAAGGGTACATAAACCCTACATGTCCCCAACCCCTTCAAATACAAATTCAAGGAAAAACTAAATAATGAACTGCATTATGCATGCCTAGGCACCTTGCAACTGAATGAGGTAATTAATTCACGTCATTACATATATTCATGTCTTCATTTCCATGTAAATCCAGAATGAGGGCTTTGGGATGGGATTTTTTTGTATACTAGGTTTGCTTTCCTTCAGTTCTTTTGAGACTACTTCTAATTGATTGCTGGTATTCAGGAGGTTCACCTGTCTCCAGTTCCAATTTTTGCACTAGGTTTTTCTTCTCCAGTCCATTCCTTGATGCTTTTATTGTGTCATTATTGGTTTTCAGGAGGTGACCTAATCAGCCAAGGGTGGAATATGAGGGCCTCGAGTGTAGTTAAAGAAGGTTATGGAACTGCATCTGTTTTGCCTGAACAAGGACTATATTTAGCGGCATCATTATACCGTCCTGTTCTAGAGGTTCTGATTATCCCATATTTCTAGTTTCCTTGAGTAACATTGGATTTACTGTCTAATTCTTTCTCCTTTTATTGTAGTTTACAGATAAAGTTACTTCAATACTACCTCAGAAGTTTTCCCACCTTGGGTAAGCTGGAATAACTTTCATGCTTCTTTGGTGCTTATTGGGACATCTTATAGACTTATAGTCTCAAATAGGACATTGAGAACTAGCAGCCTTTATATATAAACTATTTTCTTTACGGACGCGAAATAGAAATTGGGGTAGTTTTGTGATTAGCAGCAACCAAATTCAGTTTTTTTGTCGTCATATGTCATCATGAGTCGGGAGTTGAATGGTGCCAGAAGCTTAATAAACAATATTTTTCAAGTTACTTTTTTGTTCTTCCCTTTCTAATTGAAGTTAGGAGTTAAGGAGTACTAGTTGAAAAGAAAAGGAAAATTACTGTTACATATTGGGAAGACAATGTAGTGAATGAAGACATTGGACTGCTTTTGGAAACCAAACATGCCCATGTAAATTGGATTTCTTTCATGCTGGACAAGTGAAAATAATGGGAGATTAGAATTCCATGCAGTGTAAAGTTTGTGTAGGTATAATGATGTTGTTTAGTACTCATATAATGTTTAGTATAATGAGCAAGCTATGAGTTGGATCAGTCACCAGTGATTGTTGCATATATGAAATGAACTATGCAAACAATTCCCAACATTAAAAAATTAGGGAATATGGTTGCGTTAAAGAGAACGTTTGGAGGGTATTTAAATAAATTTTAATCTCTGGAATATACATCTTCCAGCACATTAGAATTTTTAGATGCTTACCGCTCATGGTTTTTTTTGTCCTTTTTATATTATTTATATGTTTGAAATTTGCAGGAAGGATGGGCTGTTAACATTTGTGGAGAACTTTGTGAAAGATCGTTTCTTACCAGCGCTGTTTGTAGATTACAGGAAAGCTGTACAGCAGGCCATATCAAGCAAGTTCTTTTACTCTTTTCCATATTCTACAATATATGATATTTATTACTGTTAAAGTATTTGTCCCACACCGGAAAACTATAAAAACGATAAAACACTATATAAGACTTTGGACTACTCCTCCTACTAGGTTGACCTTATAGGATGGAACCCCAGGTCTTAACAATTACTCTTGAGAAGAAATAACAGCACTAGCTGCTCACACTTTACATTAATTGATTTATATTGCAATAACTTTCATTTATTGGTCACCCCTGATATCTATGTATTGAAAACGTGTGATTTTTGTATGAGGCTGTAGAGATGTACCATTTGCAAATTAAGAAATATGATACACATTATATAAATTTTTTAGGCTGAGGATGCATTGTAAGTATGCATATATTCTGTATATTATTGTATATTCTATATGACACAGTTTGCCTTATAATACAAACAACCAAACCTTGATACCAATTCACTTGGGTTGGCTACATAACCAATGGGGCAATAGATAATAGATAAGTTCCTGAGTTTATCCACCACTTTCGTCATTTTCCTCTGTGTGTGTGAGTGATGTAACTATGCACTCATAAAGTCCAACTTCGGAGTTCTTTTTACACACCCGGGATGTTTTAGTTGGACTGGTTTCAGTTTCAAACCAGATTTGAACAGACCAGATCAGATTTGACCTAGAAAATATTAAAATCCACATAAAACATACATCTACTAGACCAGACTTAAACAGACCAGACCAAAAAAATCAGTCCAATTAAAAACATCCTCAATCCATGTCCCTTTTCAGCAGTACAACTTCACTAGAATTCTTCAGCCTTCCAAAGCTGCATACCCTGTACTATAACACTCACCTCTAGTCAGAAAATGCATAACAAACGTATTTGCTTGTCCTTAGCTCATCTTCAATATCTGCCCCACCCACTTACATCCTTATTGCGAATTCTGATCTTTATAGTCTTGCAACACATCCGTTCTCAGTTACACATTTCTGTCACACTCATAATCTTCATTATGCAATTTCCTGTTAATCAAGAAATTGAATGTGATCGTTAAATGCTGTATTATTTAACTCGCAATCAATCTAAAGATGTTAACTTCTCCAATTTTTGTATAAACCAAAATTTATCACATTGATACAGTAACTTCTAAAATTTGTCTTTCAGGCCCTGCAGCATTTCGTCCTCGAACACATGCAACAACTTATATATCTTCAATTGAGAAAGGACGACCTGTGCTACAAGGACTTTTGGCGATTGCTTTTTTGGCTGAAGAGGTACTCCACATTCACCATTTATTTCTGAGGCACTAGGTTAGCAGAATGATGATGCAGATAGATATCTTGAATACAGATGAAGGACAATTGTACATTGCCCTGAGTGTTTCAATGCTATCATATTCTACCACTCCCTGTGACTCCTTTCAAACACAGTACAAACTTTCAAGTTCTGACTTGGTTTTGAAGTCCATCATTATATTAATAAGTTTACCGCCCCGCCTTTTACACTGACTTTTTATTACCACAGGTGCTTGGTTGGGCTCAAGCATTGCCTAAATTTGCTGCTGGTCTTGTGAGCTATGTGCAAAGCTTTCTTGAGAGGGCATATGAAAGATGCCGCACATCATATATGGAGGCAATAATTTTTCCTTTAATCTTCCCTATCTGCAATGATTTGCAATGATTTTTTACTATTTCGACTAGCTTCTGGTTGCCTTTCTCTAAGTTTCCATGAAGCTATGCAAACTTTTGTCCATTTTATGAATCCTTACAGTTACATAGTTACGTAGTTCCCATTGTTTATATATATATATATATATATATATATATATATATAAAAGCTAGGGTTATGGATTAGTTTATATATATAAGCCAGCAACAATTATGGTTAGTATTTATCACATCTCAAATTTTACCTTTGAAGAATGTTCAGAAACCTACATTGTGTGTTTTCTTAATTTCTCTCCTTCCTAATACTTTTGTCATGACTCATGATGTCATACACTAGTTTTACCAAGGCAACAATACAAGATGGAAATTAGAGTCCACCAAACCACAAGTGGTGAAGCCAATATATATTTATAGAAATTTATAGTGGAGCATGATAAATTTTGAGTTCTATATTTTGTATTATCCCGATTCCCTGTTGAACTTTTCTGGTGTTTGTGAGTCATAGACCATTCAGAGTAACTGGGTATTATGCATCTATATGAGTACATTCTCCCCCGTTGATCTTATGATTTTCTCATAAACTACAGTATATTCTTCCTGGTCCAGTTTTGGTGACAGCCTTTTTTGCTCGATTTCAGGCAGTCCTTGAAAAACAAAGTTATATGCTCATTGGGAGGTATGACATTGAAAATCTGATGCGACTTGATCCCGCCAGCACAAATTTACCATTTTCAGTTCAATATTCAAGTTCAGAGAATAATGCTTCCGTTGCTAAAGATGTTGAGAAGGAAATAAGCAATCTATTACTGAATTTGAGGCCGATTAAACGGGTATGTAACTGTTGAAGGTCATTCAATTAAGTGTAGCCTTAGGACTCTCAACTGTCAATTATGGTCTTTTTTTATTTTTATGCACGTTTACAGGTTAATCACAAAAAACTAAATATTAGGGGATTAGATTGAGGTGAGGATGGGGGATGGGTCTTGGGGTGGTATCTTGCATTCTATGCTCAGTGTTGCCATTTTGAAAATGTTATCATACCATTTCCTTATTTTCAGGAGAACCTGATTCGAGATGATAATAAACTCGTTCTTTTGGCATCCTTGAGCGACTCATTGGAATTTGTTGCAGATTTGATAGAAAGGCGAGTATTAGCCTCACATGTTTGTGGAACTTGATTTGGTCGAACAGTTTATATCATTGCATTGTACTTGAATGGTGATATAAATGAATTTTGGAGAAAAAATGAATGAACCGCTGTTTTATCCATTTCTAGACTGGCGAAGAAATGTGGCTGCGCATCTAATCAAGCAGAAGAGAGCAGTGGAAAGCAAAAAGTTCACCAACATCGTAGAACAGCCAGTTCTGTTCCCAAGGATCTGATCTCATTTGCTGAGGAGTACAGAAAATTGGCAGTTGATTGCCTCAAAGTTCTGCGCATAGAAATGCAGTTGGAGACGATTTTTCATATGCAGGTATTATACTTGTCACATATTTGCAATTTGATTTTCAAATTTCTAGTAAAATAAGAGATTAAAGTATATACATTTGTTTAGGAAATGACAAATAGGGAATATCTGGATGACCAAGACTCAGAGGAGCCCGATGATTATGTAATCTCATTAACTTCACTGGTAAATTGCAGCTCTCTCCGATCATCCAGCAAAAGCACTGTTATGAGGATTATTATATACTCCCTCCATTCCAAAAAATTCTTCCCACTTGCCATTTAAGGATGTCCCAAAAATATCTTCCCACTTACCATTTTTGGAAAGTTTCGTGTGGCTAACATTCATTTACCTTTTTCTTACTCAACCACAATCATACATTTCCACTTTATTCAACTTTCTTAATAGGGCGAGCCAAGTCAAAGTTGGAAGTATTTTTTGGGACGGAGGGAGCATCTTTTTAATTTAAGGTTGTAGTTCTCTAGAGCATACTCTGTTACTAAATGTGCTTACAGCCTTAAGCCCTTAATTACTCCGTCATGTGCTTATTTATACTCCGTACTAGTGAATGGATTATGATAACTTGTGTTAGAGACACAATAATGAATACCCACTATAACCCAAAAAGGCATACTTAAACCTTAAGGGTCTGTCTGGAACTGTTAAAATGCCAGGAAAATAAAATATGGTGGAGAATTAGAGAATATTTAAAAGAAAGAAAATGTGGGGAAAGGAAGCATTTTTTTTGAACTCAATGAATTTATTTTTATTTTCTCAAACAGTTTTGTTTATTTATTTCTACTATGTAAAGACTAAGAAACCTATACGAATGTAATTATTTTAAAAACATTCAATTATTTTGTTTTCTGGTACTTCCTGAGCTAAGACCAAAGCCAAGAAAACAACTTTCATTATCAATTCTTTTGTCCCTATCGTTTTCATTTAATTTATGGAGAACTACCAAATAAGCCCTCAAACTTACATAAAAGTGCAAATCACCCCTTATATATGAGGCTCTGTCCGGCCGTCACCATTTGTGGCGGTTCCTAGTGGAATTTTTTGATGAATTTTTTTTAGCATCGTATTCATTAAGTCTAGTTTACTCATACCAAATTTCAACTAAAAATTCAATCGGGAAGGCAGTCAAATGAATTTTTGAAGATAACTGCACAGTTATACAACGCAGGATATTTCAGAAAATCATTTGACTTCCTTCCCGGTTGAATTTTTAGCTGAAATTTGGTATGAGTAAACTAGACTTAATGAATACGATGCTCAAAAAATTTCATCAAAAAATTCCATCGGGAACCGCCCCAAATGACGACGGCTGGACAGAGCCTCCTACATAAGGGGTGATTGGCACTTTTTATGTAAGTTCAAGGGCCTATTTGGTAGTTCTCCCTCTGATTTAATTCCCTTTTTTTTGACTATATTTCTCACATATTATAGTATTTGTTCTGATTATATTTAATTTAATTCCTTAAAAGCTAAACTTATATCATTCTCAATTTGATACAAAGTCGGGTTTAAATGTCTAACATTCTCAATTTGGTGGGGGACAGATAGCACGGCGAGATGAAGAAATGTTACCTTTCATAGCTGGACCTAAACGGAACTATATTTTTGGTTCCATATGTGGTGTTGCGGCGAATGCCTTCATCAAGGTCTTCATCATTGCCCCTTCATCTTTTTGTTATAGTCACATGTACTTATTTTGAACTCCTATTTTGCCTTTTTACTATCCAAGTAAATTAACTGGCAACATATTATTGGAATTTTAGGCTTTGAATGATATTAAATCTATCAACCTATTTGGGGTTCAACAGATATGTTGCAACTCAATTGCACTGGAACAGGTATCATTTCTCTTTTTACCCTTCTATTTAATCATTTTCCCCGCCCCAGCTGTTATGTTTGACCTTGGGTAAAAGGTTTCTTATTATTATGCCCATGTTTTTAGGCTCTTATTGCCATCCCCTCGATTGACAGTGAAGCTGTAAGGCTCAGTTTAGACCGTGTCCGTACATATTATGATCTCCTAAACATGCCATTTGAGGTAATAAAAATAATAACTACTGCCCTTTTATACTACGGAGTAGCTCTTTTTGAAGTCTGTACCAAACAGCTTATTACTGATCCATTTTCCTACACATTTTTCCTCAGGCCCTACTTGCCTTTATTAGTGAGCATGAGCACCTGTTTACAAGTGCAGAGTGAGTGTTAATAGTTAATACTGAGTCCCAAATTTGGAATGCTTTAAAAGCAGAACTATATACATGTACAAAGAAGAAAGAATTTTAAACATTATCTCATTGCAGGTATTCTACGCTTCTAAAGGTGCGGGTCCCAGGAAGGGAAATCCCAGCAGACGCAGACGATCGTCTAGCAGAGATCCAACATGGATGATGGATGCTAACCTTTTCAGTTTTGCAGCCCGGCCGGCTATTGTTTATAAAGATTAATTAGGATTTGGCAAGTGGAAAATCATAGATGCCCAGTACCAGTCAAGTGATTAACCTAACCTCCGTGTGTGGTTGAGTTCTGAGCTTTCCATTTATTATACTTTGGTCATGGGGGATTAGGTTCACATATTATGCCTTCTAATAATTGATCACTTTCAGTGCATATAAAATAGTTGTAAACACGTGAGTTCAAATGTTCTGATTAACTACAAGTAGTCTTACCAGATTGATGGACAAGGTTCTTATCTTTGAATGTTGATTATTGAACATTTGATAGCTCCTTTTCCAGGATGTAGTCAATGTCCTTTTTTTTAATAGAGTCAGCATCTTTAAAAGTTTACATCATTTGACTTGATTATTTAATGTAAATTGTATGATGCTTTTTAAAAACATTTCACGTTGTACCATATACAGTACTTTACGTTGGAGGAAGATGATAAAATACGTTGCATGTGTTTTATAAAGAAGTGCAATGACTTTACATGCAACTTAAAAATAAATTGCACTTTTAGCCAAGTAATGTAATGTATTCTACAAGTAAAGTGATTGTTTTTAAATGGTAAACTACCAAACAAGTCCTTGAAAAGATCAATTTAATGCGAAGTCTAGCTCTGACCATATTGATAGTAGGGCAGATGTTATTTTTAAATTCTTGAGGAAATGATACTTTTTTGACAGATGGAGAAGTGATTCTTAGTACTTGGTAGGTTTCCACAGTTCCACCCTTCTAATACAGTAACAATGTAAATATCTTTCACTCTCTTCCATCAAATGTAAAACAATAGAATGAAATAAGAAAGAAAAACTAAATAAAGAGGGAATAGAGCAAATGCATGGCCGAAAGTCCTTGCTGTCTTTGTCAGAAAGTGAGATCCAAGGTCTCAATATGGATCTTGTCCTGGACTTTGTTCCAGATTTGAAGTCCAATGTCATCTACAATGCACCCATTTTATTTTGCATTGGAGGGTAGACTTCCATTTTAATTCTACATTTGATTATGTGAATGTGCAATGGACAAGATAATGAAAACTTATTGGAAAACTTTCACGAACTCTCACCTCTCGCACAACCCATGGCGGTGGTTCAGGAGGCCATACTATTGGTACCTCTCTAATTGATCCTCGATTGTCGATCGAAACATGACCTATTTGAAACCCGTGCGACTCTCCTCGTCCCACACTCGAGCCCAAATCACCGCTAGCGGTCATCATCTTCGCCCTACAACTCTCGCACCGCAAACCCTCTTGGCCGCAGCCCTTGTGGGAAAACAATAACCTGCACAGGAAGAGAAAAAAGTATCACAAAACTTTGTCGCCGCAACCTCCTTGACCGATTCTTCAACCGGATAGAAACTGCGTGCAAAGCTCTCCCTTGCAAGACCTGCGAACAGCCAATCTACTCCTCACCCTCATCTGCGCAATGCTAATCGGCTAAAAACCGAATGACGAAAGCCGCATGACCCCAGGTAGGCCTGGACTCGGGCCGGGCGGCCCGACCCGGAACCGGCCCGGCCCGGCCACTGTAGCAACCGGCCCGGCCCGGTGGCCCGGTCCACCGGCGGTTCGGGTCGAACCGGCCCGGTGGTTCCCGGTTCCGGGCCCGGGCCTTCCAAATGGTGAACCGGCCCGGCCGGTTCGGGCCCGGTCCGGGCCGGATTTTAATTTTTTTTTTTTTTTTTGAAATTTTTTTAAAGTTTTGGGTTGGAATAGGTATTTTGGGCCATTTGAGGTGGTTTGGGGTTGAGGGGGAGGGGTAGGGGATTAAATAGGAACACAAAAAAAAAAAATTAAGTGGGCCGGTTCGGCCCGGCCCGGCCCGGCCCGGTTTGGCTCGGAACCGGGACCGGAACCGGCCACCGGCGGTTCGGGCCCGGGCCTCCCATTTCCTGGCCCGAGGCCCGGCCGGGCTCAGGCCTGAACCGGGCCCGAACCGGCCCGAGTCCAGGCATAACCCCAGGCGACGGTCTGCGGAAAATCCAAACCCTAATCGTAGGGACAACGACCGCGGAGTCTAGTGCTCAATGCAAAATTGATTGGGCTATCCATTGTCATTACATTTAAAAAACAAAATTAATTCAGATCGAGTTGTTACTTTAGAAACTACAAATACTCAAATACTACTACCAAGCTTTCGTACATAAAGTACTAAAATACTCCGTAATAAGGAAAACCAAAAATAAATATTGACATACATTAGAATTTTTACTTACTTTGTATAAATTAAAATTGCTACTCCCTCCGTCCCAAATTATAAGACACTTTACGGTTTACGATGTTTGACCGACAATAAAGCAAATTGATCACTGTCAACACTCAAATTAGTTTTAGAAAATAAAATTTACATATTCAGAAACTACATTAAAATTGCTACAAAACCTACAAAAAATAATTCAAATTTCATAAAATTTTGATATATAAAGTAAGGGTTTAAGAGTGATTTGTGTTGACCAAGTGAATAGCAAAGATATCTTATAAAATGGGGCTGAGGGAGTAATAGATACTTTAGTTTAAATCTACATAAATTAATCTCAAATAATAATACTAAATTAATATTTAGTGATAATTAGCTTTGTATATACTTCGTAATTATCAGGTCTTATAAAATTTAATTGACAACTCAATTTGAGACCAGTTAAAAAAAAACTCAATTTGAGACCCGTTAAAAAAAAACTCAATTCAAGACAGAGGTAATATTGCAATTCAATAAAATTTGAGTTTGTATCCTATATGGCTATATGCAATGTATGTTCAATTGCTCACAACTAATATTTGAAATTATCAAAATTTCATCTCATTAGGAAGTCTGCAAATGTGGTTTTAACGAATTAAAAAAAGAGATGGTGCAAACTCAAATTGAAGAGTAGAAAATCCAACTTGGTCCAAGTTTCTCAGCGCAATTCCAAAAAATTGCTTTCAAACTTTTGAGATTGGGGTTGATTACCAAATTTTCCCATATCAATTTCGTAATTCATACATAAAACTAAAAATAGTTCTCAAAGAATTTTAACAGTCAAAAGTAGGGACAATGCATTGCAACTACATTGTTCTAACTGAAAGAAAAAGAGGAATAAAATATTACTTAACAGTTAACATTAATGATGCATCAACGAATACAAAACTATTCATAATACTGTAACCATTAATCACCCAGCAAAACTAAAAATACGTCCAAAGGTCCAAACATGCTCTATATATTGAGATGAGAAAGTGCAATCAAAGTTACTTCGTACTATCTGACAGTATAGTATTATTATACAAGAGAGAAAGAGCTTGAATATGAATCAGGCAAGAGAATTCTGAGGAGAGATACAAAGATTAGAGGCTAAGTACTACACTACTACACTTCAAAAGCTAGCACACTTGATATCTCTAAATGGAACCTTCATATTTCCAAAAATAACGTTGACCCTTGTTGCTGACAATTTGAAAACAAAAGCCCGTGTTGCCCAAAAAAACTGAAATATGAAACAGGTAGAAAGAAGAATTTGAAGTGCAACATTAATTGAATAATATTGAATTGAACTGAAACCAACTACAGAGTTTGGTCAGCATTGAAACATAGTACACCATCTTTTCAAATATGGCCCACAATCCATCTTCAAAAGGCAGATTTACAGGCACCGGACGTAATCCACGGGAAATTTTACTCTCTTGTACACTGATTTACAAATTACAACGAGAGAAAAAGTTATGTAAACAAGGGCAACATGCACTTTGCATCTTTGTCCACTATCCGAGAACTTAATTACTGTTGTCCTTTTCCTTGCGAGATCTGATCCGCCCAATTGCAGAAGAAGATGATCTTGTCCTATCATCGTTCATTTTGAGATTCTCAAGGTTTACACATTAACAAATCTCACCAAAATCATCATCATCATCATCACATTCAATTGCCCGCTGTCACAATCAGCCTACATTAGTGCAACTTTCCTATTTCTTCCAGCCCAATGTCATCAAGGTAGCTGCTTTTAGTTCAACATGCTTCCCAAGCCTGCCAAAGCAAAACTAGTAAGACGAAGGAGCTGAAGGAAAAGAGCAAGTAGAAGTGTCAAATAAACGTACGCAAGGTCAGTTGGAAGTCTGAAGCTGCCTATTCTCACACGCTTCAGTGCATGAATCTAAAACGCAATAATAAAGTATAAAACACCAAAATCTTAACATTCACAATATTGCACAATGCATAAGAACATTGGATATATACATTAATAATGAAAAAAAACAATAAAAACGGTTGAAAGACGAATCAACAACCAAACATACCTGGAGTCCAGCATTTTTCACAATCTCCCGAACTTCATGGTTTCTTCCTTCGTGAACCTGTCCCATTTGAAAAACACAAGAGTCAACCCTGTGCAATCTATCATCTTTGCAATGAAATAATAAGAACCTCAACGTGCAAGATAGCGAATACACTGCTATATTTGGCCCAATGACAGTACGTTGTAATGTTAACAAAATGTGCACAACATATCTGGTCTGATATTACTAGTATTTCCTTATATTATTTAATGTTGCTCTAATATGATCTAATTTGGTTTGGTTCTCGGGTATGATCTGGGACAAAAATGAGTCCAAGTGAATAGGTACATTTGGCCCAAAAAGTGTTCCAAGATAACTAAAAGGCCATAAATATGTCTACTTATGACATAAGAGACCACAAAACACAAAGATTGAATTTTTAGCATCCAATTGTTAAGATTATAAATAAAAAGATTATAAATATAGAAATGCAATGTAAATGGTCAAGTATAGATGTGAAAAATAGTACCACTATCCGAATGCGATGTCTAGAGATATCGGGCTGTTTTGGCAGTAGTTCCACAAAATCTGGTGTACATTGGACACCTTCAATGACGGTTCCTTCACAGATGGCATTCAAGTGTCGCTTATTCACATCACCGTCCACTGTTGCAATGTATCTGCAATAGTTGTAAAAAACATGGTAAGATTGTTAATTTCTCAATAACTCTAAACATCGAAGGCATTTTATATGCTTCAGCTAAATCTAAAGGTCTGTAAAAACGAAATCCATAGTATCTGTTGACAATTCCTCTTGATCCCCCAATAATTGTTTTTTAAAAGAACTTTGGGAAACATATTCATTTAAGAGATACTCTTGATAACTTTGTTCAAAGGTATATATGGGCATCATGTTTAATGAGGTTCCAGTTAATCCATTGACTATCTTATTTTCCAATTCCGGCCCAATTTCATAAGGCTGCAACTTTTTTTCCCTGACAAGAGACCAAACCTTACAAAAAATTAAAGCCTTTGGAAGTTTGGAACTGAGGAAGACTAAAATATTACATTTCCAATAGTCGAGGAGACCAAAAGCAGAAAAATGCAACGTGAAGAGACTACAGTTGGAAATCCCTCCTTTTATTACTACATTTACTTTTTAATATTTTAGTGCTAAGAAAAATGAAAAAATATGAGAGGGCTTC